CCCTCTTAATAACCCCTGTAGTACTCCCCTTGATCCCCTATACAACCCCTTTTAAAGAGTTTAGACTACAGCGCATATGAGGCCTGGCATCCCGATTAGGATGTGAGCTTGGGAGCTTTGAAGCCTGCCTTGCTTGTCCTATGTCATAGATGGGTTTTAGGGTTTAGGGATTCTACAGGGTTCAGGGTTTGGGGTTTAGGGTTTTGGGCTTTAGGGTTTAGGGGTTAGATGGGTTCTAGGGTTTAGATACAAGGAATGCTTCCTAAAGCAAGGCATTTGGCGCTGCGTGGGTGTGGGCTTTTCAGATTTTCGCTTGACAAAAATGACTTCCAACATCGACCCAGCGTCAGCCATCGGATGGTCACCTGCCCAAAGCCAGCATGGGGGGGTGGAGAATCCACTATGGGCTGTTACACCTTTAGGGCACCTTAATCTACCTCATTAGGGTCCTAATGGGGAATTTTAGGGTCTAATAGCCCATAGTGGGTCTCAATGCTTCAAGGTTTGGGGAAAAGATTGGGAGTTCAAGCTATACAGTGATGCCCTTATGTCCTAGAGTAAATCCAATACAGAGTACACACCGTTTCCTGCCATGTTTCTTAATACACATGGGGTATACACGGTTTCCTGCCATGTACCCTACTACACCCACAGTCTAGAAACTCCAAAACCCCCCTTTGAGGGACTAGATACCCATATATAACCACTATAATGGCCCTTATACGACCCCTCCTGCATAGCTCCTATATCACCCAAGCAACACTGAACACACAAATCCTAAACCAAGAACTTCCAAGCGGTTAATAGGGAATAAGGGAATACATAATCCCGAGATTACCCCTATATCCTAGATTCCCTTATTCCCGACTAACCTCAAACCCTAAAACCTAAACCCTATACCATATTCCTGTATTCCCTACTAACCACAAGTAAGTAAACCCCAAGGCCAAAATCCCAGGATACTAAGCCTAAATAATAGCAGGCTCTGACCGCCGATCCCGAAGCCCCCAAGCCCAAAGCCTAAACCCCAAGTTCCCTGGACCCCTGGTAGAAATAAGAACAGTTCCAACTGGATAGTTATTAGGATTATAATTTGATCTTTAAACTATAGGTAACAGAAATTGAAAAATATTTTCAGTGAACTTCCAGACGAAGAGTGTGCAAGGGCGCACCAGCTGGTTTCCGTTCGCCGCAAGCTGCAGGGTCAGCATGAACTGCTGTAGACCTACAGTTTGTTGGGGTTTAGGGTTGCGTCTACGGCTCAGTGGGGGATCTCAGCTTCCGAGCGTAGGCTTCGGGTTTAGGGTTCGGGGCGTGGGGCGGATTGAGAGATTGATGGGGAGCATGAAGGAGCGCATGAGGGCTTGTGGGCAGTCAGAGTCTGGGCGCAGAGTTGAGTTTTAAGGAACTAAGTGACTAAGTGATGACCACTGTTTGGTTGCGTCACCCAGTACCATGCCTTCCAAGCGTACTAATACTACATCCGGGATACATCTATAAAGTTGCAAGGACTTCCTTCTCAGGCAATGTAACCTTCTCCCCAGCTCCCTCACAGGCCTTCCAAGTATCCACCCTCCCCGGGCCTTCCCGCAGTTCAGCATCCGGTCCTGTACCATAACTTAACTTGATGGCTGAAGAAGGTGTTGAAACTAGCTTCACTTCAGGGATTGAGCATCCCTGAACTGCGTTGCTGTTAAAGAACTTACTTTCAGTCATCATAGTATGGGTATGGAGTAGATTATAAGGTTTCCTTATTAAGTAACCTAACCCAAATTCCTCAACAGCAACTCCGTAAACGCCGAACCCAATATAGACCCGCCAAAGGAGGAACGTTGTACCGCTGCCCTCGCTGGGACGCCTGACGAATGTAGAGCCAGTGACAAAAACTGCCAATGTCTCGCCTTTACATCACTGGAAGTAACTTCCCTTGACATGACACATGGGGACCGAGAAAAAGAGAGAGAGAGAGAGAGAGAGCTGGACACGATACGAACAACTCACACAGTAGATGACCCTTTTGCTGCCTGGCCTTGCAGCATCTCATCATCTGCCTCACCTGCAACAGACTTGAATTCGGGCTCCGAGGTCTCCGTTTCAATTTGGGTTTAGGGCCTAGTGTTTAGGGTTTAGGGCAATTGAGGCTCAGGGGTTTGAAGCCTAGAGCTGAGTCTTGGGCGTACCTTCCAGAAGCTTGGAGAAATCTGCGCCCTCTCATATGTCACATGGTTGGCGGGGGGTTAGGATTATGTCACACATTCCCAACCAAACAGCTCGACCTATACGTTGAACGTTAAGCCGGCCTTTGGAAAGCAGGAAAAACTCCTCGAACAGGGAATCCTCCCCCTCGTACTTCTCCTTGGATTTCAGCAGGATTTGTCGCGGATTGGACAGGCGATGGCGCGTATGGGGTTACTGAAAAAAAGGCTTCAGAGGTGTGGGATTGGGAATAAGGGCTTGGGGCCTGGGCTTGAGCTTTGTTGCTATTTTCGAAGCGGGCTCTAGCAAACAAAAGCGGAAGATGCGTGCCCACACCTGCAAGACTCCGTTGAGGGTTTAGGGTTTGGGGTTTAGGGTGTAGTACTATATTGGCGATGGTCTTCATTGTAAGGTTTCCCCAACTGGACATATACATGCACCAATATTCCGAAGGAACCCTATATACACTGACAATAGATGGCTCTGGCACTCAAGGAGGACATGTCGGCACAAGTACTGTAATCCCCCTAAACCTAAAAGCATGTCCCAAATAATTCCTCAGGGATGCACAAGAAAATGAAAATCTTTAGGAGACTACAGAATGGCTGTTCCCTCCCTTAAAACCTTCAAGCCCACAGCAACAGCGTTGAAAGAATTCCGAACCCTTCTTCGGTGGGGGGATGTGAGATTTCAGCCATGTTTACCAGAGGACCCTGTACCCTGAAACCCATTGCAGCAAATCACAAACCCTAATCCAGAAATGGCGGGTTTCCCAAAATTTGGGGTACTTTTTTGGGGGCTCCCCATAATAAGGATGATAATATTTTGGGGTGTCTATATCGTGGTTCTCCCTATTTATGGAAACTACCATAGCAATCCCAGCAGCAGGATGCTGTTTCCGATCCTGGAAAGAATTTGGGGTTCCGAGCTGAATCTGCGTTTAGAAGGCTGGGTCCCCTTCCTTGCGGTAAGAATAAATGCATCCTCGGTTACAATCCCAAACAGGTTAAGGGTTTAGAGGTTGGGGTCTAGGGATTAGGAAGTAGGGTTTAGGGGAGAGGCTGCATTTTGGCAAGGGCCCGGGCTGGAAGGAGTGTACAGACTTTCCATGTAGGCTTTGCAAGCAAATTGATTGGGAACCCCCAGTAGGCTCCGTGTAAGGTCTTTGTAGTGCATTTTTGAGATTCTACGTCAAAGAATCCCTGAACTGACCCGAAACCTTAACTTCATGCGGTAATGTAGACCATGATTAATAACCCCCCCTCTTTCTAAGGGCCTAAATATTAGGATTACTATCATAATCCCTATTAAAGGGAGGGGGGCTTATTAATCAGGGGTCTACATTACCCTATAATATACTACAATACACTGTAATCTACTATAATATACTATAATATTCCATAATATACCATAATATACTATAATATGCCAGAATTAATCAAGGGTCTGGGTTAGGGGATGACCACTTCACCTTGGCCCTTGCACCTTTTCTGGGCTCTATTGCAAGCTTGTCCTGCATCGCCCGCTCCTCTAAATCCTGAACCCTAATGCTGAGCCCTAAATCCTAAACCCCCTTAACCCAAATTCTCTGAATCCTAAACATTAAACCCTAAACTATGTTCCGCAGGGGTCTCGGTTGCATCCTTGAGCCGTGGTGTGCCCCTGGGTTTTGCAAACCGTTTGGGCTCTTTCCCCAACCCTCAGGGTCCGGTTTGGGGTTTTGGATTTAGGATTTAAGATGTAGGCTTTCGGGCTGTAATTTAAGGCGCTGAAGGGAACTTGTATTCTGCAGACCCCAACCCCCTGAATTCCTGGGGCAGAAAAACCACAGGGACACAGCGGCACCACGCCTCGTATCTCTCGTTGAGAACGGACCGGAGGTCGTCCCCCGCCTGGCGCACCTTCAGGCAAGCATTTGGAGGTTCAGAATTTCAGCCAAACGGTACATGAGTACAAAGGATGCGCACTTCAACAAGCCCCTGTAAAAGCTCGAACTTGCTAGAACATATCCTCATGCTTAAAATGCGTCGCGGCCCCCGAAGAAAATGTATAGCTAAGATCCCGTTTCAAGGCACTGACAGCGAGGGTGGAGGCCTACTAAAAGACCGTAAGATACATCACCCGCACACCTTCTATTTCCCCTGAACCCTAGATCCTACTCCCAAGACCTATAATCCCCAAACCCCAATCCGCAAGCACAAGCTGCTTTAACTTTCAAATCGCTGTTCCTAAGCTTGTTCATCTATCAACCCTAGTCTCTACGCCGTAGAACCCAGCCCCTAAACCTGGATCACGAAGCCCTACCTAGTCTCTAAACCCTTCTTCCCATTCCAATCTCTTAACTCTACTTCCCGTTCTCATGGCTGTTTCTCCTGGGATCCAGAGACCCAAAGCTTCAACAGCCCGAGCGCCTGTGGCGAGAAAAGGCCGTCCTGCGGGCCCCAATGGTAATTGTTGGTCATCTTGGGGTGTTGGTGTTCTTTGGGGTAGGAACTCCTTTTTCTGTGCAAAACAAACATACCCTGACCATGTCGTGGGCAATTTAGGGTTCAGGGTGCGTACGATTATCAGCGCATTTCGGTAACCCCAACCTCTCCGACCTCTACAATCAGCAGTCTACCCAAGTCACCTGACAGCCATAAGGTCCCAGTGTTCAGGGCTCTTGGGGTATGGGGTTCAAGGTCGAGAGTAAGGTTCTAGGGGTTGTAAAACTGTGCAATCGGCCGCTAGAACCTTAGCCATAAACCCTTAACTGCCTAGGCTTGAGGGTTTTTGAGGGTTTTGGAGCAGCTTCGGCGTTTGGGGGAACGCATGTGGGTAGTTCCCAAAATTAGGGTCCCATTTTTGTACCTCTAGATATTAGGTGCCGTACCATAACCTATAACCAAAAGGGGCCCATCATTTTGAGCAAAAAAGCCATGTGCACTCGGGTCCTTGTTGATGCTGTCGATGGTCTTGCAGACTATTCTTCCGGCCTAGGAGCACGCTGCTAGCACGGTTTAGGGTTTAGGGTTTAGGGTATAGGGTCAACATCAGGATAAGGAAGCTCTGAAAGGACTCCATGTATCGTGTATGGGGGTTCCATATTAGGAGGCCATGTGAGCTACAGTCTGGACCCCTAGCATCCCCCTGAAGAGGCCCTATCATAGTCCCCGAAACAATCCTATGTAGAACCATCCTTTAAGGAGTTTAGACTATCATCTGGGACCTTGCAGAGCCCTGTGGAGGCCTTAGGGAGGTTTGAAGGAGTCTTTAGTTCTGGATCCCCCGCTTACCTACTCCTTCATCATGATCATGTCTCCGACGACTTGAAACAAGGAACTATGTGTTGGACCATTGATAAGGGGATCCTGTCTTGCTACACCCACTTTAAATTGGAGCTAGCAGATCCAGGTTTTGCATATGGAGCTTTCCAAAAATTAGGGGCCTCTTTTGTTCAGAAGAGGGTGCGGGGGGGCCCGGGCTTTGCATGGACAAAGTTTCGCCTCAAAACGAACAAGCAACGTAAATGACAAGCTTGAAAATCGAGCCTAACATCTTCCGCACCCTGACCTTAGAAAGCTATCACAAGTGTGGTCCTCTGTGATGCAGGTTTTTTGTTTGTAGACGGCCTGCATGAACATTCCGGGCGTGTCGCAAAGACATCCAAAAGTATTCGGCCAATCTAGGTCTGTCTGCTGGCTATACGAAAGCATGTGAAAAAGCATGTATAACATCTGCGGACAAACTAAGCCATTGTTTCACATTACTCAGCAACACAACATAGCACAACTATCGATTACAACGATCGTCGAATATTTACAGTATTTCCTGCACGAAATTTGATGGGTAATGACTCAGCATATGGCTTTTGTTAGTAACAAGAAGCATCTCTTCATGCACCATATCTAGATTCCCCACCGCCCTGCCACGATTTTGCACTATTGAGGCCGCCATAAACCCTCAGCCAGCGAACCTGCACCCCTCAATGCGACAGGTGGCAATGAAATTGGCAAAACCGTGCGACAACAGTGCTCATGAAGCCTCCCTTGTTATGCCATCCCGTCCAAGTAGTCTCACATTCTCGCCGTTGCCGTAAAGCATGTCTGCATTGGTCTGGACCTGAGATGCGCACAATGCAAGTCTGGAAGGGTTGTGCACCATGTCTTGCAACAGCACAAAAATGATGGGTTTCATTCTGAATTCAGGAGGTGTTTTTAAAGTTTGAGGTTTAGGATCAAGGATTGGAAGTGGAGGAGAGACCCCAGAGTGTAGTCGTTGTCTCATGGATTAAACAGCTGCACTATGTATGGTCACATTACGGAAACCTGTGGGAAAGTAGTGGAATGTCGTATCCGGGGGAATACCTTTCGCCCCGGATGATTCCTTGGCATCATCCCAAAAGACATGCCCTTGGTGGCCAAAACACGACTTCCAGACCCAACCCGTTAGGAACAAGAGCATTGAACTCAAAAGCACGCAAAAATGAAGCCCAGCCTCCACTGACCATCTATCGGACCGACTTTTGGGACCCGGGGAACCTCGTAACTAGTTAACATAATGGGGATAACTGAATTCACTACATGGCTTAGAGGGGCTATAAGTATACCTACTAAGTCCCCCTGACCCACCAGGTACTATCACGCGCCAATAGGAATCGAAGCCAACACTTCTCGCATCAAATCTGGTACTTTCCCAAAATAGGGGACACCAATATACTATTGTCCTTATTATGGGACCCCCAAAATGGTACCCCCAATTTTAGGAAACCCCCATCTGGGGTACCAGCTTAGGGTTTGGATGGAAAGCCCCGTAGACTCCTTGCCTGCACCTTCCTGAGGGATCTGAAAGGAACTGTCCAAAAGTAGACAGAACTAGTAAAAAACTAATCCTTCTTATGAGGACCCCAAAATGCAGCCGGTAATGTATGGAGTGATTTTCATGGCCTCGAAATTTTCTTACAGGAGGGGCGTAGCAAAAGCCTTGTGGAGACTGCGGGAGAGTTGATGTTAAAAATCCTGCTGAACCTATGATACTACAGTATACCAAGGCCCTTCAAGATGCTCAGTCTCAACAGCCGATATCCCTCTGGACCTATAATAAAGGTATCATTTGTCATAATATGAAACCCTAAACCCTAGGGAGACTACAGACAGGATAATAATCCCTATAAAGCCCTACATAATCCCAGTTTCCATTTCATTTTCCATGTTCTTTTCCATTTGATTCTCCATTATTGGGGGTATATTCCCATATATATCTATATGTAAACTCCCCTGTAGACCCTAAACCCTAAACCCTAAACCCTATATAACCCCCTCATCTAGCTACTGAGCTCCTCACAACATAGGTCCACAGCTGTTCGAAGACGTTCTTGTCTGACCTTTTTACAAAATTGTACGCGACTCCCAGGCCGGTGAGAAGGCCCAGGGTTTAGGGGTTTAGGGGTTAAGGGGTTTTGGGCTTAGGGTTTGGGGTTTAAGGGTTTAGGGTTTAGGGTTTTGAGTTTTGGGTCTAGGGTTTGGGGGTTTAGGGTCTGGGTGTTTAGGGGTTTGGGGTTTAGGGTTAAGAGGGTTTGGGCGGTATGTGCAGTGTAGATCTGAGGCGTTGCAGCGCTCAGCAAATTAGTGGGTTTAGGGTATAATGAAGCATTCATTGAGTGATGAGACTCAAGCTCTTTCTGAACTCTCTGGCGCTTTGTCGGGATGAGGGGAATATGTTTTAGGGACTATCTTTGCGGATCTTGAAGGGACTACTATGGGGATGTACTCCCACTGTTCCTACCAATAACAGAAAGTGGGCATGCAAGCCTAAGCACTAAGACATGGACAAAGAAACGCACATCAGCAAGGTTTGAGCGAGCTTTCGAACCTTCCTTGGGAGCTTTACTTACGTCAGACTTAGAAGTAGGGTGGCCATAGAGTTTCCCCAAAGGGCCGAATCCTTGATACCAAACTTTGCAATCATCCTTACAACTTATACCGAACTTTGCGTAGCTGCCCATCAAGGTATACCCTAAGGGTCCAAGGACTCAAATAATGAGGTTTTAGGGCCCAAATACTCTACTATTAATGGTATTTGGGCCCCAAAACCCTATTATTTGGGTCCTTGGACCCTGAGGGACAAGTAGCAAAAAGAAAAAGACACAACAGACCAAGGCTAGGTTGAAAACTCGTTCGCGCGGAAATACTCCGACCGACTTGAACTGTCTGCTTACTGGTGATTAGTAGGGAATAATTAAGGCAGACCGCTATATGGGGATTATATAGGGATTGTAGTCCCTTATTCCCTACTAGCTTCCAGTAAGCTTACTTGGAGGTTGCTGTTGTATTCCTTAGTGGTTTTGCCAGCTATGATAAGTGCCCCACTTGAGGTTGCAAAAAATTTCATCCGGAATTGGAACAACACCGACATCGTCAGCAAGCTGCTTCCTACAAAGCAATACATGGCAGCATAGACAATGACTGTGATTAGGTTCTATAGCGGCTCAAATGATGGGTCCTTTTCTACATTTTCACATTCAAGACCTTAGGGAAGAGTTGCAGGGGAGACACGAAAACACACAGAAGAACCCTGGTTACAACTTGGGGTTTCCCTACCTAATAAAGTGACCTACCGCGGGTTAGCAGGGAATAAGGGAACATATTTCCTACATGATATATTCCCTTCCCAACCCTAAACCGTATACGCATATATATATATATTGATATACATATGCATATACTCCCCTTTTTCCCTACTCACCAGCAGTAAGAAAGAAACGCTTGGGCGGCTGACTTGAGCGTGCCCTGGATCTGATCGCAGAAGTCCTGCTTGGAGGTTCATGTGTAGTTGCAGCTCGGGTATGAAATTCCCTAACATATGAACGATCTAGGGATCCCTATTGGTAGTTAAAGGTTTAGGGTCTAAGGCCCCGATATCCTCCTTATACTACCCCACAATATCCCCAGAACACCACGGGGAAGGATGAGCCCCAAACTCTATATACCCCCTCAGATACTGTACCCACTATAAAATGCCAACTCCCAAGCCCGAAATCCTAAACACTAAATCCTAAACCCTAAACCCCCGTGTGTACAAATGAGAGAGAAGGTGATATACAAATATGTACAAGTACGTTATATACATGTAGATAAATATATAAATAGATATATACATGTGTATATATATATATACATATACACACGTGTATCTCTCCCCTAAATGGCAGCTGGAAACCCAGTGAGAGGTGCAAGCAGTCCTCCGCAGAGTCTACAAAAATCTGCGTCGCCCGGGTCAACCTCCGTGGCCGCCCATGAATGCAGAAAGGGAGTAGGGTTTAGGGTTTGGGATTTAGGGATTAGGGATGAGGGTTTGGAGTTTAGGGTTCGGGATTTAGGATTTCCGGCTTTGGCCTTAGAGCATAGGATAAGGACTTGAGGCTGAGCATGTGTTTAGGATTCAGGGTTTAGGGGCCGGGCCCCTCAAGGATCAATAAAGAACTTCTAACAAGCGCTTCATAGCGAGTTGAGAAAAGGATCTCAATGTAGTTCATGTTCATCCCATATAGTGAACCCTAGAACCCAATCTCCTCTTCCATACTGCAGGGAAACGCCATGCGAGCGTTCCCACATCAGGACGGCTGCATACTACTCGACCCACAACCCCACAAACCAATAGAGAATCCCAATTTCGCCGTTGTCCAATCTATCCTCTGTTATTGGGGTACTATCCCTCAGCCCTATATCATCCTCACATATCCTGTATCCCTCTCTAACAACTATATATACAGACTAGTCCCGATAATCATTGGAGACCCCAACTGTTGCAGACCTGCCGACATGATCCAGGGCTTAGGGTTCAGGGTGTAAGTTTACGTAGACTATCCGCAAACTACCCATACCAATTCAATGTATGAATCCATACAACCCTGATTATTTGTTCACCAGGGCTGCCCATAAAGCCTTACACCTGCAGGGTTTAGCTTCTAGGGTCTCTGCAACCACTGCATGAAAGCAGTTGCTGCACAGTTGCTCCCCCCCCAGCCAGGGACATGGCTACTCCTCCCTAAACCCTAAACCCTAAACACTAAACCCTAAACCCTCACCCCAAACCCCTGAACCCTAAACCGTACGCCCTTAAGCCCTAAACCCCAAGATGGCAAGATACCCCTTGCCAGGAGCAAAGAAGCCCATAGTCCCAAGGGTCTTCATCATAAGCTTCTGTAAGAACAGGAATCCCTCAGTCTCCAAATCCCCTATCCCAATCCAATGCCTGTAAAACCCCTATATATATATAACCCTACATAGCCGCTAAATACCACTATATACCCCTATGAAAGCTCCTATATAATCCGTATAATTATAAGCCTTATGAAGCCCCTACCCCCAACACAATCCCATAGCGGAAGATAACAGGGTCCTTAGCATGACAACCCCGATGATGTCATCTGATACCACACCTGCCAACCCTGAAACCGAAGTCTCAAGTATGAACATAGGGGGCTTATAGGGATTATATGGGGATGATAAAGGGGCGATGTAGGGATTCTACAAGGATTACATAAGATTCTATGGGAGTTATATGGGGTTATAGAGAGATTGCATAGGGGCTATGCAAGGATTACATAGGCATGATAGAGAGATTAGACAGGGCTCAGGGCTATGGAGAGTGAGATCCATGGCCCGGATAACCTGACAACGATAGTGTCTATGGTTCAGGGTTTAGGGTTTCGTAGGCCTTCAATGGGCTTTATAGGGATGATTGAGGGGTTTATCTAGGATTATGTAGGGATTATATAGGGGTTATATAGGGATTCTTTGTTCCCAGCAGAGACATGACTTGTTTCGTGATCTCGTAGACCACGTCTTCCCACTGATCCGGATACTGGGATTTTGACACCATGCTATCTGGTTTAAGGTGTGGGGTTTGGGGTTTAGGGCTTGGGGTGCAATTCCTTCATGAAAATCATGATTTGCAGGCCGCTTTTTGACAACTGAGGGCCCTGCGCTTGCTTGTTGGCGAAGAAGGCAGCAGAAGCCTTCTCACAGCGCTTTGAGTGCCAAGAATCTGCTGAGTAATCCATAGCTTAGGAAAAAAACAAAAAAAAAGCATAGTACCCTCTGAGATCCAGAAAAAGAAAAGGCTGGGAGGATTGCAAAAGCTTTGTTATTCAGGGCTCCATTCATGTAAGGTAGGATACACACTGCGGTCCCCCCAAAGTATCTTGCTCTACGCCGGACCCCATATTTGAACAGAATCATATTCGAAAGACCATCCTCACCGGGAATTTTCCCATTGGCTGGCCGTTGCCAAGGCGGAGTCTTCCTGGGATGTGAGAGCTTCTCAGAATCCTCGCGCCCTCAGGTACAGGAGCCAGATTTTAAGGGGTTTATGAGGGCCCCTATTTGCGAGTCTAGGGATGACTTTAGAAAATTCCTATGTAGGAGGGCTGCCAGCACTGAAACGAAGGGATGAGCCGATAAGGCAAGTAGGAGAACAACAGTTTGGAGTTTGGGGTTTTAGGGTCTTGGGCACCTAAGTCCTCAAAGCTGAGCCCTATAGCCTAAATCCTCGAAGCTAAACCCTGAACCCTAAACGCTCAAAACTAGACCCTAAATCTTCAAAGCTAAACCCTAAACCCTCAAAGCTAGACCCTAAATCCTAAACCCGAAATCCCAAGGCCTAGACTGCAAGCTCTGAATGGCAAATGGGAGCCTTGTCGAAGATCTTCCCCGACTCTGTGGCTTTACGCTCCTCTTGCTGACCCAGGATTTTATACTGGGATAAGAGCGGCAAATGGGGCTTGACATTTTAGACTTGAGGGTTTAGCGGTTTAGGGTTTAAGGGTTTAGGGTTCGGAGTTTGTAGAGTTTAGTGTCTGACGGCGGCTTTGGGGTTTAGGGTCCAAAGTTTAAGGTAAGTCTAAGACATATATCGGCTTTGTGGCGACGATGGGGCTCCTGACTTGAGATTGTATGGCGTAGGATTTGGCCAGATTACAATACTGCGTAAACCTTACAAAGTACTCTTGGGGTAATGACCCATCTAAATTACAAATTTGGGGGAGGTCACTGCAATTGACCCAAGTTCGCAAGTGGCTTCCAGCAAGATTCGATGGAGCCCTAAACCCTAAACCCTACTTAAGGCTTTGAGTTTAGAGTCTGGAGTTTGGCTGTAACAGCATTCATAGGGCTTACTTCCGAAGTGTGGGGTTTTAACATGAATCCTGTGCTAACTCTATCTATAACCCAATATATCAACCATTAGCGCGGAATGCGTCTAATCCTTCTAAACTCTAAATAGTACATTTCACTTGATGTTCCATGTTCTTTTGTATTTGAACCTCCACTATTCCCTACATAACGGCCTAGGTTTGCAGACAGCTGCAGCTTGAGGCCAACTTCCGACGTTGTAACATTGCTACACACATATCTTTTAAGATGGGCCTAGACTTGCCATTAGAAACCGCAAGATAGTGGAAATGGGTACCACTGTACGTGGGCGGTTCCTAACCCAACGCATCCGTATCCTCAACAAGCTATCCAAAAAGGGATTGCCACAGCAGGAAAAGAGCAGCTGTGCATCAAAATCTCTTACTGGAGCATGTTGGCAGACAGTGACCTGAGGCCGATATGGAGGTTATATTGGGGTATAATCGGATGATGGAGACGAAAATGCAAAAATCTATTTAGGGTTTAGGGGTTAGGGTTGAGTTGATCCGCTTGAAGCCCGACACGTTGCTCCATCAGTGCTCGTGCTGATTACGTTTGCATTCCGCACAGGATTGCCCTCTCAGTAGCCGAAGGACATATCATCCTTTGAGCTAGTCGAACTACCCACGTCC